TGCGGTGCGGGGCCGCCCTGCAGGCTCTGGACACCTGGGCCCAACCCCACCTGCCTCCAAGCCCAACACTCACAGTAGCCCCAGCCCTCGGCTTCTGAGGCCGCGGCGAGCAGGATGCAGAAAAGCCGGAGACGCATCATGCAGGGCTGACGGTCCCGGCAGCCGCCTCCCTGTGAACGGCTCCGGCTATGGCTCGAGTTCTGGCTTGGGCTCCAAGCTCTTCTCCTGGGGTTTGCAGCAGACGGCTCTCTCCTCCTTACCGACCCCTCCCTCCCTCTTTCCTTTCGCCCCCAAGCGCTCTCTCTCTCTTCTCTCTTTTCTCTCTCTCTCTCTCTCTCTCTCTCTCTCTCTCTCTCTCGCTGTCGTTCCTGGTCCTCCGCTCTCTCTTCTCCTTTCCACCCTCTCTCCTCTCACCTCCCCCCTTCCCCAGCCTCTGTCTCCTGGCACGCGCCGGTTTCCCGGACCCCGCGCAAGCGCGTGCCTCAGCCCTGCTGCGAAAGGGCGGGGGTAGAGAGCCTCTAGCCACCGAGAAAACCCCAAGTAACCCGAGGCTGCCCGGGACTAGGGCCACAGGGGTGAGGATAGGGAACCTAGGGCCAGAAGCATCCTGAAAATTTCAAGAAAAGGGAGGTGGTGGCGGGGGCGGGGTGCCTGGAAATGGAATGAAGGGTAAGTAAACATTTCTGAAGGCAAATTAAGCTCTAGGAGTGGTGCTGGGCACTATGAATTTAGGATTTTTGCTTTACTCCACTTTGCAAATGAAAAACCTCAGGCTCAGAGAGGTCAAGAAACTGAGTCAATATCATACAGCAAACGATTATATTCTGAAGCCCATTCTTTCTTCACTGACAGAGTAAAGACAGTAAATTATTTTTTTCTTTCTTTCATTCTTTTTTATTTCCTTCCTTTTCTTTCTTTCTTCCTTTCTTTCTTCCTTCCTTTCTTCCTTTCTTCCTTTCTTCTTTCTTTTTTTTTCATAAAATCCAGATCCTGCACAAGAGAGTAAAGTCTTTTGGAGGATGTGGAATGGGAAAGTGACCCCCTAGACCCTAATCCCCACCTCCCTCTCGGCCCCTCTCCCCGCCTCTTCCTTCCTGTCCCTCTAGTAGTTTAACTTCTACCCCCTGTGGCTATACCTCAGAAACCTGTGTAGCCAGAGATGGGAACGGAGGCCACAGAGCAGGTGGGAGTGGGGGCAGGGAGGGGGAGAAGGGTTACAGAGAGGGGGGAAACAGGGAAGGAATGGGATTCTCCACCTGGCAATAGGCCTCTGCCATCCTATGGCTTATTCGGGATTCTTGGCACTATCTCAAACTAGGAGTCTTCCAGATAAATGGGCTGGTGGTGTGAGGCTGGGGTTGTGGGACGGGGACTAGGGCTGAGGGGAAAGGCGGGTTGAACCTAGAGGTCCAGGGTCCCACCTGGGCCCTGAAAACCTGAGTCCCAACCCCGGAGACCCCCTTGGCATGAGTGGTTCAGTGTGCTGGTATTGGAGGTAGAGGGAAGGTGGGTAGGGAAGGGAAAGAAGACAAACAGAAACCCACCCCAGACCGAGGTTGGAGTGCAGGGCTCAGGTCTGAGAAAAAGCCTGCATATGGGCATTATTCCAGGAGAGGGCGCTGCAAAGGGAACTGAAGCTCTAGGATTTATTAATAATACAACTCTGGGCTGGGTCCGGTAGCTCAGGCCTGTAATCCCAGGACTTTGGGAGGCCGAGGTGGGTGGATCACCTGAGGCCAGGAGTTCGAGACCAGCCTGGCCAACATGGTGAAACCCCATCTCTACTAAAAATACAAAAATTAGCTGGGCGTGTGGTGGGCGTCTGTAGTGGGGCGTCTGTAGTCCCACCTACTCGGGAGGTTGAGGCAGGAGAATCGCTTGAACCTGGGAGGCAGAGATTGCAGTGAATCGAGATTGTGCCACTGCAATCCAGCCTGGGCGACAGAGCAAGGCTCTGTCTCCAAAAATAATAATAATAAATAATAACAATAATACAAACTCTGTATTATGGTCTTTGGAGAACACAAGTTCTCCCCAGCCATTATCTTCCATATTGCCATCTTCACAGCAAATCTTGAGAGGTCAGCTGGTCAGGATTTATAATCTCAACATTACATGTTAGGTAACTGAGGTCTAGAAAGAGCAAGTGACTTGCTCAAGGTCACCCAGAAAGCTGGAAGCAGAGATAGGAGGAGTGCAAGAGAAGCCTAGGCCTGCTGAAGGTGTGCTAGGAAAGTCTGGAGAAGAGCTTATGTCTCTCCGTGTACTGTTACATCTGACCACACAGGAGCTCTCAGCTTGGAAGGCATGTGTGGGCAGGGGAGTGGTGTGGTCAGATGTGTCTCATAAGATCCTGCCTCTCATTTGACCCTCCCAGGTCTCCTGGGGCCATTACTCTGGGGATGAAGAGGAGGCATACTCGGCTGAGCCGCTGCCAGAGCTTTGCTACAAGGCCGATGTCCAGGCCTTCAGCCGGGCCTTCCAACCCAGTGTCTCCCTGACCGTGGCTGCGCTGGGTCTGGCCGGCAATGGCCTGGTCCTGGCCACCCACCTAGCAGCCCGACGCGCAGCGCGCTCCCCCACCTCCGCCCACCTGCTCCAGCTGGCCCTGGCCGACCTCTTGCTGGCCCTGACTCTGCCCTTCGCGGCAGCAGGGGCTCTTCAGGGCTGGAGTCTGGGAAGTGTCACCTGCCGCACCATCTCTGGCCTCTACTCGGCCTCCTTCCACGCCGGTTTCCTCTTCCTGGCCTGTATCAGCGCCGACCGCTACGTGGCCATAGCGCGAGCGCTCCCAGCAGGGCCGCGGCCCTCCACTCCCGGCCGCGCACACTTGGTCTCTGTCATTGTGTGGCTGCTGTCGCTGCTCCTGGCGCTGCCTGCGCTCCTCTTCAGCCGGGACGGGCAGCGGGAAGGCCAACGACGCTGTCGTCTCATTTTCCCCGAGGGCCTCACGCAGACGGTGAAGGGGGCGAGCGCCGTGGCGCAGGTGGCCCTG